TATTGTGATAATTAAGGCGAAAAATAATTTATAGAAAGCTATAAAAAGCCTTTTCAATCGGCAATGAAGTATGCATAGGATGATCTTGCACGTGGACAAACAGCTTAGATTGGGGTATCTATAGAGTATTCAACGCACACCTCCGGACAGTGAATGACTTTGCGAAAGAAGCTTGTCGGTTAATCTTTAATCTCCGGAGCAGACAGACCATCTTGGCGGATTGGAGGGCGAAGCAAAGGTATTAGAGCTAGTTCAAAACGTAGGCAATATAAGAATCCAATAAAGCTGTTATAATACAGACTCCTTATTAATATTGTTGAGGATACCCTCATTTCGTATGAAAGTGCGTGGAGAAGATATTCGTAGGTCGATCTCACCAGAAATGACGGCTAAATCCCGTTGTATTGCAGCCATTTGGCTTTTCTATCACGTTCAGGTTGACGCAGTCCACAAGATATCTTCCTTTTTATAGGGTGAAAATGGGTTGAGCTTTTATCCATTATATGACGTAGCCCATCAGAGCTGTAACTGATTCTTGTCAGTCTTATGTTGGGTCAAGAATACTATCCTGGTCTACCTTCCCTCATATATACTCATTGCCAAAAATGAAAATGAGCAGGCACAGATGGACAGTATGGTTTGGCTAACTATATTTCATACTGGTCATAAGGCTAATGTCAGGCTCTGATCATCAAGGCTTAATGACCCAAGAAAAAGGCCTAATCGAGAATGTGAGGAACGATGGTAAAAAGTTTAGAAAGAACTACTTATGCTTGATTGATAGATCGGAATAGAAAGAGAGGGTGAGCCGTCATCCAAAAGAAGGCGACTCAACTTGTCTGTTCGGTGATGGTTAAAACTTCATTCACTCGTCCAACATGTTAGATTAAGCTCATCAAACAAATAAGACGTACAATATTACGCAGCCCCAGTCATGAGTTTCGCTGAGTGGTTGAACGTTATTTATATATATATATATATATATACCAAACTATGTAAAATGTAAAAGCATAACAGAGAAAAAATAAACTTTATCATACAGAGCAATCAAAAAGCTATTATTGTTCTGATATAAAATAATATAAATTGAACTATATACAGGTTCGTGCTTTTAATAGTAAAGAGAAGACAACTGGAGCGATTTCGTTGCCTGAGAATCTGAATGAGCACCATGACGGTGCAATAAACTTAATAACCCGAGAATTAAAAGTTGTCCATGATATGAAACCCGTAAAGAAAGTGAGTCGGTCTCATTTCGAAAGGAACCGGGATAACGAAGAAGGGAATGCAACTATAAGTCGTGAAAAACTAAATGAGCTTAAGTAAAAACAGGGAGTTATCGAAGTGAATAGTCAGTTGAAAAGGAGAGATATCACATTTATAGGTTACATGAGACCAGCAGAATAAGGAAATGTACATAAAGCACAAGCAAAAGCCAAATAAGATCGATTTCATAAGAAATGGATAACAATGTATGCTCGATTCAGGTAGTATAAACGTGATTTACAATTCGCAAATGCAAAGAATTTATAATAAATGTATCTAAAGCATAGGCATACTAACATCGACAGTGAAATTCGATAACGGAATAATCAAATTGAAAGTTACAAATTGTATAGAAAAGGCTGAATGTAAAACAGAGCAGGGACGATGATCTAAAACATGGGGTTATAAAGGTAGTATCGAAACTGGTTTAAATACAAATTTATAAACAAACTTCAGGGAGACCAAACGGATGAAGTATGAAGAAGGAAGAGATAAGAGATAGATGTGATAAAAACAAGAATTGATAAGAACCGATAGAAATTAGTAGGCCATGCAAAATAAACTGTACACTTGAGTAAATATGATGTAGAAACTTATGGGAAAAGGTTATAGAATGTCGAAAAACGAAACTATTACCTTACAGCATGCATATACATTTATGCATGTAAGTATAAAGATGTAGCAGAAATGATATGAATACTTTGGATAAAGTAAAATCACAAAGAAATCAAAGCTAAAATAATGGCGCTTTAATGACCGGGTTTCAAAGAGCAAAGTTAGAAAAGCAAAACTCTTTCGGAAGTAGATACATGAAATAAGTCTAAGCGGCGGTCATCTGAAAGTCACCGTGGGAGCCGTTTAGCACATTCAGGGGATGAAGTAATCCGTTGGCAGATCTGAAGTGTGTATTAAAAGTGTAAAAATAACGTTGATGCAAGATCATAACAGGTAAGATATAAAAGAAAAATAAGTGCCAAACACCCAATAATAGCAAAATAACGAGCAAATGAAAATAATAGGTCTATTTAAGCTAAATCTTAGTTTCAAATTAAATAATTCATCAAAGGTATCAAGACCAAGATGGTGTGGCCCTTTGTGTTGTCACAGTCTCCTTTCCTTTTAGAGGTCGTTTGACCTTGTTTTCACAACTTGGTCATATTGGTAGAATGACTTAGAGGAACACATCTAGTCCGTAGTCCATTGTATGCAGGATCATTTCCAAAGTCGGACGTAGTAC